CTACAATGTACCAATAAAATAATTTAATTAAAAAAAATAATTTTCAAATTGCTATAGACTGGAAACATAACATTTCTGGTATCATATTACTGATGTCTGTTAAATTCTCCAAATAGAAATTTCTCTTGTAAACTTAAAATTATCTCCAATATGTCCAGTATAATTGTCTCACATTTCATTATTCAGTAATGTGAATGCTAACAGTTGAATAGCAGGTGATACAGAAATGTTTTTGTTCTCACACTGATATTTCTTCCTATGTAATGCTCCCCTTCTAGTTTTTGATTATGAAGGCCACTTAAAACTACCTTATGGTTTACAATAAATGTAAAGGGAATTTTTTTGAAAAGTCTCTAAGCTGTTTAATAGCAGCAGACTTTCTATACAGGAAGTATACAATAAAATACCCCAAAGTGCCTGTTGTCTTTGGGTCACTAAATTATATTCCCATCGCTCCTGCAAGTCCAGTTCCTCTTCCTTTGCTGGAGCTTCCTCCATTTTAAAAATAAGAAATCATTTGGCTACACAGAGCCACCTCACGCCATTCTTTGTAGGCATTATCCCCATTTTTCTCTTTTCTTGCACAATGGCCCAGCTTTTGTGGGGACTGCTGTTGTCCCAAGTGTAATCCTTTACTAAAGTGGGAATTGAATGAAGGTGGAACACAAATGATGTGGAAGCAAAGGAAAACCAGACATTTGAAAAGGACCCAGAGAGGAATGAGTAATGAACCAGGGTGGCCTCAGTGAACGGCTGTGGAGGGAATTCTTGGCTTTTGAACACACACACACACAGACACACACACACACACACACACACACACACACACGGCAAATGGACACCAAGGAAAACCTAGAGAGAGAATCACAGCAGGAAGCTGGTCAAGACAGAAGGTTGGACTCAGAGGCCCTCCAGGTCTGGACAGAAACAACTGTTTTATGACTAACAGTTAAGCCTTCAAATGCACCATTTTGGAACACAAGGTACTTTGAGGAGTTGACATCTCTTCATAATTCATGTTCATTGTTCCTCCAAGTAAAATATGTGCCTCCCTTTAGTTACTCTGCTAGGAATTATACTTTACAGGCAAGGGGAAATTTTTGATAATGCACATCTTAAGACTTTTCATTAAAGTACCAAATTTAAATTCTACCTTTTTGTGCACTCTGACATTTTTGTCTGGCATTTTCATTAATTTTGCGACATACATAAATGTAGCTGAAATGTTAACTGATCAATACTTTGTCTCTCTCATGTAGCACTAGCGCTCCATTCCCCAAGGACCACACAGCAGAACAGAAATTAAATGTGTAAAATATCAAATGTTAATGTTAAACACAGCGGCACTTACTGTATAACGACAGAAAAGGCTAAAACAATTCCAAATGGACAGATGGTACCACAAATTATCTACAATCACATTTAAAGATTAAAGTTTGTCCTGTAAAATAATTCTTCTGATGCACACTGAAGTGTGTCCTTTTACTGATAGCTCTGTTGTCCAATTATTTTTGTGCTCATCACAGTGAGAAATGACAGTACTGAAAAGAAGGAGTACGTACACTCTTTTTCTTTTCTATTTTTTTTTCTTTCATCTTGCACCCACTGACATCCACAGGAACACAAATGTCTGGTCAAGAGCCTGATGAAAATTAGGCCCAATTTCTGCAACATGTCCATCTCTACAACAGATGATTGCCAAAGATGAGCAGAGCTTTCTGGAGCATACATGTCTGTGCTCACTCAGAGGGGGACAATATTCATAGCAACCCTTAAAAAACTCAATTCACGGTGCTGAACTGCAGGCCATGGAGGAAATGTGCTTGCTTATCTTTTACTGGCCGCTTCCAGACTGACATCCGTCTGTGCGTCTGTGCTGTCACCAGCTGGCTTTGAATCCTCCCCACTGTACACAGGTGGGGCTGTGCAGGCTGCAGCCACCATAAGTTCGCCTTTCTCCTGCTTTCCAAGTTCACTGACACTAGGATGCAAAAATGATTGTTTTGCCATTTTGATTTCATTATTCTATGCTTAGCTTTGGAGAGTGAATTAGAAAAGGAAAAGAAAATGGAATAGAAAAAAGACACTTAAACATTATAAAGTTGATGAGTCTGGGCCTAAAACCAAGCCGGATAATGGTACAAATGCATGTGCTCCGCGAGGCAGCTGCTTTTATGAAAAAGTGGGCCAAGTGGATCCAATATTATAATAATACACCCATGATTCATCAACAGGGCATGACGGGAACAATATGTTCATAACAATGGAGAGCTGCTCAGACTCTTCTAATGGAAACAGTTCTTTTCGCTACACTGTTCTAAAAGGCCCCAGCGATGCCATGGGAATCTTTGAAATATTTCATTTTTAAATATATTATTTAATATCTACGAGATGAACACAAATCCTAATACAGTTTTTTCTGAGTTGTTAAGATATGAAACTCATAAGGTATATATTTTAAAGGCTCTTTTAGGAAAGAAATGCTATCTACTGTGCGGCACTGGAAAAACTTCTTAACTTTGCTGTGCCTCTGTTTCTTCCTCTGTAGACTGGAACATAATAGTATCTACCTCAGGAGACACTGAGAAGGTTAAATTTATTAATGCATGAAAGCATTTTGCATGTACGCATCAGCAGGTGAAAAGCTCCTTGGCAAATAGCAAGAGCGTAATAGATACTAGTTTTTCTTATTGTATAAGAACCTTTTCATATCAGAATTTAATTTGAGGTTAAACAGATGATTGACAAAGGATTATGAAATAGTTTAGAATTCAAATGGCAGTTGTAAGGGAAAATTGCTACAAAAGTATTAAGCTATGTGTACCATGGTTTAATAATGAGCTTTATTAGAGTAAACATTTATCAGGCATTATTGAACAATGAATTTCTCCACAAAAGAAAAACTTTCAGATTGCTTGGTTCATTAATTGGCCAGGTGACTTAGTAAGCCATTTGTATTGGGAACTTTCTAACTGCTGGATACTCTGCAGATATGCTGGAGTACCAGGGTGAAAAAGGCAGGATCTCCATTCTCATGAGACTCCCAGTTCAAGCCTAAACAAATAAAGTTTGGTTTTGTTTCAATCAGTTCAATAGACTGCACTTCAATGTAGCCCCTTCTCTCTTGCCAGTGTAACAGTTAGTGTTATTGTGTCTTTTCCAAAGTAGTCTTAATGTGAGTTCACACTGTCCCTGGTGGCCTCTCGATTCTCCCTCCCTGTCTGCAGGCCCTTTCCCTATCTTTCTTGTGCCGCTCTGCTCTCCTCTTTGTGTGAGCCTCTTGCGTTCAGCTTGTGCATGGTAGGACTGAATCAGTTACATACTGACCACCAGATAAGAGAGATATTAGACATTTCTTTCCCAGTGAAGTCTGTCCCTCTTCCCATGAAATCACTCAAGTAGTATCAGGTACATGTATGTAAGGTTTTCAGAATTCTAGTACCTGTAATTTAAAAATTTTTTAGAAACAAGGACATTGTGAAAAAGGGCTGCCATATTGAATTCATTTTACACAAATCTCCTCATATAAACTTAGAAGCCAGAAGAAGTTTATGAAGACTTATCCATTGCAAGCCTAAAGAATTCAAAATGAATGTTCCTGAACAAACAGTATCGTTAGGTATCTCTCTGTTTTCAAATTTCACAAACAGCTGTGGGGAATGACTTTGGAAGGAGTGAATCAAAAATGGCAGTATGACCTTTTCAGTAGAATTCTGCTGCTGTTAAAAGGCCTCACAGAATCTGGGAGTAATGATATAAAATATACATAGAAACCCAGTATCATTTTTTCTCATTAACATCCAAGTGCCTGTGTGCTGGTGAAAAATCAGTATAGTTTGTTCAACAGTACCCTGACATATTTTTTATGTGAGAGAGCTAATAAAAGAGTATCGAGGGTAGGAGGTTTCTTTTTCTAAAGCCTGATGATGATGATGATTCTCTTCAAGGAGACAACACCATGTCTATGGGAAGCAGGCATCCTAACTTTCTGGTAACTTCCAACACAAAGGGTCATACACACTCTTTGTTCATGTGCTGAGGCATTAATGAAAGTCCCATCCAGGGTCTAAGAGGAGGACAGAGCTCAGAGTACTAAACAGATGTGCATACATTCACAAGAATGGTAATACTAAAATGTTGATTTGTTACTATAATTAAGGTTCCTCTTGAAAGTTGCCATAATAAAATCATATTTTGTGAAACTGGTAGCTCCTGGGAAGCCTAAGGTACATCTATCCTAACAAACATGAAAATAAAACAAATATTTTCAAGGCTCCATTTAAACTTCAAACTAAAATCCTGAATAAGCAAAAATAACATGGGAGCAAAGAATCTCCGCTAACGCATAAAGGAAAGTATCTTTTGGATTTTTTGGTTCTGCCAGTTGGTCTCACCAGCACTTTTTAAACAAAGTGAAAGGCTGCAAGATGAACATTGTTAGAGGACTATTTGAATTGATCAAATTCTCACTTATGACTTTTTAAAAACTGGAAAGTCTCAGAAATAAAACATCTCTTAAACAGGTCATATCCACTTTCAATTGATTCACATATTAAAGTTTTACCAACTGGCATTCTACTACCTGTGGTGTTCATATTTTGAATAAAAAAGTCCAAAACTATAGAATGAACAAAATCAGATTGAAAATGGTCAGGACTATTACTATTATTATTTTTCACACTGAGGTTTTTTTCTTGGCTCTCCTATTGGCGCTTAGAATTATGCAATATGCAAAGTTTTACTTTTTAACTGCCACAGAGAAAATTATACATTGGCTGAGATGTCTCATTCCGGAAATTTGAGGCGGGGAATGTATTCTTGGACTCAGACCTTGAACAATCCATCAGGTCCCTGCCCACGGCAAATCTGTCCAGTCCAGTCTTAAAATAGGAGTTTTTAAATGGCCACATCAACATAACTGTTACTATAGCCACAGAAACATGCCGCTACGATTACTGAATTTAATGAATAACAATGGAAGTAATACAGTATGATCATACCACAAAAGCAGCAAGGCTCCTTGGGGGTGAGTCCCAGTCAAAGCAACTATTAACGTAGTATGCAGCATTTACAAGCACCATGACACAATGTTTCATTCTGATAAAATTTCTTAGTAGCAGCTGTAAGAAAAATGAGAACTTTATTAGAATTTACATTACTGAAGATGATCAACTATATTGCAAAATTTTTCAAGCTTATTGTGATTTAAAATGGATTCAGAAAGTTAGTAAAGTCACAAAAACATACCAAACAATTTGACTTACAAGTTAGAAAAAAAGAAGTATTTCTGGGGAAAGGGGAAAGAATTGATAAGAGCAATTTCTCATCTAAATATATATATTTCAAATAATGTTATAGAGGCTGGACTTCTTTGCTCACAAGAAAAAAATTTCCCAACAGGTTGAACCATTCTTGCTATTTACATACTATGGATTTTTATTAATTCAACCCTCTTAAATTTTATTGTGCTTTTAAGATTCAGTAAAAGTTTATGTTTCAAGATATTTCAAAGTGAATTGGATAACCTGGAATATTTTTACTAGGGGCCTTAGAGAAAAAACCTGTCAAGTATTGCTTGTTACAGAAAACAAAATGTTTTCACCATTTTAGTAGGATTTCTTCCTTTTTTGCTATATATCCTGTCTGTCTGTCTATCTATCTATCTATCTCCCCCTCTCTCACACATTAAATTCAACCTATATTTTCTCACTGTTTGTCCATCATTTTGAAATTAGGGAAATATTTATAGTAACCAAATAGTTCAAAAAATCTTTCATTAAAAGATATATGAAAATTGATTTAATTTAAATTTAAAACTATAGTATGACTTCATTGGTAAGAAGAATAGTCCATGCACTAAGATAATGGTTCAAAAAATTATATACAGATATACTAATAGACTAATCGTATGTCTATAGGTTAATATTTTGCTACTCCAAATATATACTTCAATACTGATTTGATATTTTAAAGAAGCAGTCATGTAAAGTTTAGGGAGATCAGATAGTCAAAAGTGTGTGTAAATATAAATGCATGTGTATACACGCCAGTTTAAAAAAAATTCTAAAATTGAAATCCCATTCAGACAAAGTAAAGCATTTCCCTATTTGTTTTTATCCTGGTCCCTATCATCTTCTTTTAAAAGTAATGTTTATTATTTTTATCAATAATCTTGGAGAAATGCAGTCTGCATTTCTATTGAGATAGATACTACATTTGCAACATGTATACTATCTTTTTAAACATTCAAAGATTCCACTGTTTATGGTGAATTTATTAGATTAAAATAATGTGTGTAGGTTTCTAATGGTGAAGGAAATTATCAAATATTTCCAGGTGCAAATAAGTTCAGTAAACTTTATAGCCATAATAAATACATTTTATTTTAGCTCTGTTAATCGGATGTAAGGATTTTCCAAAACAGGTAGCTTAGCACTTTTCTTGATATCAAGCCACAGTTAAAATTATAATTGATTTCTATCAGGCTTAGTTTAAAAATCCCTCATGATAGAAAAATCAGATTTCTTGATTTTTCTGTTTTCTTAGCTAACAATGCCAATGAAAGCTCACTTCTGCAAGATCATGGTTAAAATCTAATTAACAGGAAGGCTTCCCTGAAAAGATGGAGCCCCTTCTCCTTGGATTAGAGGGAAGAGCTTTCTTCGGGGCTCACTTTACACACACCTGCATCATACCTGTGGGTGGTCTGTTCCCAGATTGGGGCCTCGGCCTTTGAGGCGCTCATTTGCACACCCCGTGGCGATCCAACTGTACTTTACGCTCAAAACGACCATCCTTTTGCTAATGCATGACTACATAACAAATTTAGAGCAGTACCTACTGTATCCCCTTTGCTTCCTGACCACCCCCATCAATTTATTAGTTTGGTATTGTCCTTGTTTGATCTTTTAAAGAAAGGAATGAAGAGAGAAAAGGAAAGAAAGGGGGGGAAAAGAACCATTTCAATAAGTAGATGATCAAACATTCCATCCTCTTCCCCCCTTCATACTTCCAAATTTATTTGAATTTACTTAGATGTTTTGCAGATATAATTAGGCTTTCCCAGAGGGATTAATCTTTCCTTGTTTTTTACCTGTTTAGAGAGTCTGTTTTCCTCTTCAATGTACTTCTGTTCTTTGGGTATTAACGTTCGTAAGCTGGCTTTCACCTATACATCAACACATGTGTCTGTTACAGATTAATATATCACAAAAGTTTACAAGTTTTTCACGCAATTCAATTTGCAATAATTACTTAAAGTTTTGAAGTCCTGCCTGCCTTGGTCATAAAATATAAATGTATACAGTTGCACTCGCGTGCTGTTCCTTTTCCTAGGCAGGCAGGAGCAGCCAGAGCGAAGATGCAGCAGCAGTCGCCAACTCTAACAGAAAATGTGGGTGTGCCAGGCATGGCAGAAGCGTATTCTCCGGGATACATCAAGGTTTAGAGAAAATGAGGAATGACAGAAATTCTCTACAAATCAGGAACAAAAGCTTTCATGAAACTGAACTCTTTAGCAGTACAAAAAAGCCAAAGTTAAGACTTACAGCATTAAAAATCACATCTATTTCAAGATAGATGACCCCCTTTGTTGGCCCTGTCAGCTGCTTGTTTTTCAAGACGTAGGCTTTCTGTTCACCATTTTGAATCTGCGGGAAAAGGACATGACAGCCGTCTGTCTCGCGGTCTCCACTGAATACACTCCCTCGGTGACCTTTGACCCCCAGCTGCTGAAACTGACAGAGAACCCAAAACAACTGTGGCAATTCTGACAAGTACCTGTTCATTACCAGGATCAAGTCTGTCAGGAAAAATTAACTATCATGGGATTCAACATGGCCGTGAATTGAGAATTGAGTATGTTAAAATTTTTAGTGTTCTTATTACAGGCCTTGGTTGAGAAATGACAGACATAGAGCTGAGGTTTTTTTTTTTTTTTTCCTTGAGCAAAAGCAACACAGAACAGTGTGTCAGGTGAATAAAACTTACAGAGAGCAATGGTATAGCAACTTTGCCCAGAAAGTCAGCACTCCGATCCCGATCTTCATCGTAAACTGTCACTTCAAGAACTGAATGGATATCTTTAATGTTGCTGCACAATAAATAGGTGTAAGAAAAAAAAGGTTTCATCAGTGGGAAACAAGAACTAGAATGGATTTGAAAATTTAGATAGCTCCAGCTGACTGTGCGTGTCTGTGTGTGTGTTATTTGCATACACACATACACAGGGTAGCCTGGTATCTGACAGAATTTCCCATAATTCACCCTAGTTGACTACAATAATGGTCCTATTATCTGGAACTTGAAAGATCATCATAATTTTTTAAGTTATAACTTTTTAACAAAATATAATTTCCCATCTAAACAGGCAAAGAATAAGTTATTTTTTAGACTTTTTAGGCTGTTATTCTTTAGAATTTTCTTTATTCTTATTCTAACAACAAATCATATCTTCCCATAATAGCCACATAAAACACCACCTTTGATATTAGCAAGAGTCACCGTATACTTTTATAGCAATACTTTTTTATAGTAACAGGATATCTCCTTTTTGTTTATAGCTCTCCCCAAAACACTGACTTAGTTTCTATGGTGTTTATAATAAAAATGAACAAACACAGAAAACAGAATGGAGAAGATGTAACATTTATAGCTATTCTACCACCCTGAAATTTAGAAATTAAGTCATGTTCCGTAGACAACATATGTTAATAAACAACTGGAAGAGCTCTTCATATTTTTGTTTCTGGAAAAATAAGTGCAAATTGTTGACAGCATTTATTCTTTGATCAGACTGCTTACCAAGAAAACATGAATTAAGAGAAAACAAAAAAAAGAGAGAATATATTCATTACTGAAAAACCACAACCACATGTAAGAAGGGGGCTTTATCAGGGCACAATCAATTAATGGCTTTGATAATAATCAAACCTATTCATTCAATTATGCATTCCAGAGCAAAACACTCTCCACAACCTTCTTAGGAGTGCAAGTCTCCTAACCAAGCTTTCATCTTTTATGAAAATGTGGAATTCCTTAAAAATAAATTGGTCCCATAATTAAAGCTGATTAGTTACTGGCTCTTAAGCAGAGACATTAGAAGGAATTAATGAGGAATTTAGCAGTTTTTCATGTACAAGAAATAAAACTATGTTAGAAAACTTTTGAGCAATACTTTTGTTTAGAGAGTTTCCTTTGTTTAGAGTTCATTTCTAAAGCCCAGTTTAAAAAAAAAAAAAAGAAAGAAAGAAAGAAACCCGAACTTAGGGGATACTATAGTGTAGCAGCATAGGCAGCTTTTACAGCACATGATTGAAAGATTTACAAACGTATTAAAACAAAAGGAAAATTAACTCAAAGGGTGTTTTGATATCTAGGACAATACTTAATATTCTTATTGTGCTAAAATGAATCCAACCAAAACTAAAGCATCTGCCGAATTCGTGACCAGATTGTTTGCTGATTTCAGCAATAGAACAAATAGAGCTTTGTCCTCCTTGGTGTCAATGCAATTGGGAAGAATTTCAATAGAAAATATAAAAGGAAGAGGCAGTATGGAATTCTGTTGATGGGAGCAAAACCCTTAGTCAAGTCATATAAAAAGCACAGTTAAAAAAAAAAGTCTATGAAAACAAAACAAAAAAACAAATGGAATATTCCCTCCCCAGGTTTCACTCACAAAGGTAGGAGCTCAGCAAAGGTTGTTAGCAAAGGCTGGCATGGTGTCCTGAGCTGTGAATCAGTGAAGAATACACATACACACAAACACACACTCACACACATGCAACCTCAGAAAGAAATATAATTTTACACCAGTCCTGCAATGAGCTCGAGGTAATGGCTACTTACAATGTGAAGACTTTGTTCCACTCAGGATTGAGATTTTTGTAGACAGTGTGTGTTAGCAGCCTATCGTTGTTCAGTTCTACTACACAAAATGGGTCACTTTTACCTACAAGAGATTTGGGTGAACATTTTTATTATAACTAGTACCCGCTTTCACAGTGTCATGGTCATGAGGCTAAGTCTTTTCCAAAAAGTTTTATGGTAAACAAAAAGTGAAGAAAAATTTTAATACTTAAAAAAATCATCAAAATAGAATTACATGGAACCAGATGACGTTAGCAAGCATTATGAACAATAACAATTTAGAACCTGAAAAAAAAAAGCGAAAGAGATCAAATTATATAGCTAGGATTTCAATTTGAATTTTGAACAAAAATCATTCTATACTGTCAATTATGAAAGAGAATGTGCACATCCATCTCTAAGTCAGTTTTTGATTCATTCTGTAATGACCATTTGAAGTGTTCAGTGCTTTTAATCTTACACATATATTTCTCAACTCAATGGATTCACTGGTACAGAACTTGTAACAGGAATTGCTAAGCAAGTTTATTTTGAGAAAACTGCTATGATACTGCAGAACTACAACATTTTAATCTAAGGTTGAGTTAGTTTCTCTCCAGATATCTATGGACTCACAAGAAGGTAAATTAGAACCTCTCAGGCAGAAAAAATTCTGCCATTTGAAACTTAACATCAACAACCAACCAGCATGTTAAAGAGCAGTATTCTTTCTGTTCACCGAAAGTAAGGGATTTAGAAGTTATCATTTATTTTCAGCTTTTGTGCTCTGTCATAGCCAAATCTCACCCATTTGACCATTAGGTTTTCTAATATTCTCAATATTTTTGTAATGTCAGGTCCTGTATTATTAGAACCCATAAAGTCAGAGGCTCTGTGGGGCCAGCATTAATGATATTAGTGCAGCATGTAATTTGTTTGATACCTTATACAAATGACAATGAAATCAATATTTAGACAAAGCTGTTCAGAGGTCATTATCTTTTAAACTACAATATTGATTTAGACTACATAAGAGGTTAATGTGCATATTATTAACTTTAATGATAAAGAATAATTGTTTTAAATACATTGTGAATTGTAGTCACAGTAGTTTACACTTGTGTGCAAAAGCTTAAATATCATTGAAGACTTTCAATTAAATTTTAATGGGAAGGAACTTACTAGCCATCAGTGACAGATAAACTGCATATTCCCATAGAGCAGTGTGTTTATTTTCCATAGTGTGATTCTTAAAATGAGCTGTAAAAGCTTTGATTCACCTTTAATTTAAATTATTAATTTTATATTTAAAAGATCGGATACATGTGTGCTAGTTCAGTAGCCACATATACCCCAGGATAACTGCATCATTTAACATTATGATAGTCTTCTCAATTTGGGGTTTTGGGGAATAATTCCCAGTAGAGAGTAGAGAACTGGAAGACATGAAGGTCTGGTGAGGATTTTATTGGTGGTTCAGGATCTGTATATCTATCTCCTCCTCTCCACTTTCTTCACCCTTCTTACCTTTACCACTCTTACTTCCAACACATGCGTACCATGGAAGACAGTGTACAGAAAGAATACTTTGTTCATCCAAACACAGTGTAATGGATTTTATTTGAAACATCAATAACTTTATTTTCTTACATAGTTTTGCTACAAGCTTATAAAGGCAGGCTCAAATAGTTTTTGAAATATATTTAAATGTAAGCCCCTGGGCAAAGCCTTCTCCCATATCTATTCCCTATCTTTTTAGCTAGTAGGCTACATACGTAGGAAAAACTCGGTAGTTTAACTACAGATTAATGCACTCCACAAATGCATATTGCTTATCATGTATCAGGCAATGTTCTATGCGTTGGGGACATAGCAGTGTATAAATCAACTTCAATTCCTGACCTCAAGGAATTTCCATTGAAGAAGACAATGAATACATTTTATGGTGTTCTAGGTGGTAAGTACTATGGAGAAAAATAACAATGGGGAAGGTGATAGGGAATGGCAGTCCATTCCCTAATAAAATTTCGAACGGACTGCAGAGAAAGCCTCACTGAGGAAGTGGCATATAGGCAAAGCAATAAGCCCCGCGAGGGAGTGAGCCCTTGGATTACCACAGGAACAGACTGTAGACAGGCCAGAGAAGCAGCCATGCCTGACATTTTCAGGGCTAACTAGGAAGCAAGTGTGACTGGAGGGATACATTGGGTGTGTGCACATTGTGTTATAAGGAGAGTGGCAGGCCTCTGAAAAGACATGACTTAGCTTTCATTCTAAGTGAAAGAAGAAGTTTTGGGGGGATTTGAGTGGAGAAGTGCCATGATCTGATGGCTGCTATTTGGAGAATAAGATGGAGGGCAACCAGGGAAGTGGGGTGAATGGTTAGAGAGCAACTGAAACAATCCAGGTGGTAGAAGTGGTTGGATTCTGGATAGACTTTGAAGGTAGAACCAACAAGATTTGCAGATGACAATATTGCACAACTTAATATGCCCTGATATTATTATTTGTAGATGGAAAATAATTCCTTGAGCTTAGCCAAACTATTTATTTTTTTTAAGGTCAGAAAGCATTCAACAAGATGCTCAGATTGGACATTTCTAGAATCTGACAGAGGAAAACTTAGGTAAAGAGAGAGCAAATAATTTTATGTGTAATTTGTATTGATCTTATCCTTCTTATGGTATAAGTAATGAATGCCAACATTAGGTCTTGACACACTGTTATTTTTCACCAATTTAGAAAGTATCCTTCTTCCACTGAGTGATCAAAGACAATTAAAAACTAACAGCAATTTCACCCAAAGTAACAGCAAATATGCAATATCAAATTCTATAATTTGTCACTAAAAGCATATGCTATGGTTTTATTTTAAAGAAGTGGCTAAACATAGTTAATGTGCTTATCTAGGTTGTTAAATAATACTTTAAATGACTGTTTTTTCAGTTCCTAAAAATTTCAGGCCTGATTATCTGCCACTTATACAAACAAAACAATCAGAAATATACCACTGATGGACTGAATCATTAATTATCTCCTACTTATTCCTTCCTCCCACCCTTGTGTTATTCCATTTAGATTCTGTAATATGCTGTTCTGCTTGCTGAGAGTACCTGAGTTGTGAGGTTGTCTACAGGATGGAGTGTCCACTCCAGGATGGAGTGTTCATGGAGTGTCCATCTTGCAACATAGTACACTTTGGGAGTGCTAGAAAACAGTCTCATGTAATGTTACTCAATACCACAGGGCTACAAGTGCGAGGCAGGAAGGTAGCATCCAAAGTTGAAGGGTATTTTGTTTCTGATAATTTTTGCCTGAAGAGCCTAAATGTCTCACAACATAAATTATGCAATCTCTTATCTCCCTCTCACACATTTTTGTCATGAGACTAAGGCAGGTACCAATAGGTCTTTCCTTCACTCCCATCATTGTGGCTTAAAAAAAAAAAAAGCTCATACCTCTCCCTAGCAATGAAGAAACTGGAGAATTGGGTTTGGATGGAAGATAGAAATTTCAGCAGTGCTGGATAAGGGTGAGAGTCGTAGAACTGATTGCTTTAATAGCCATGACAGCTAGAAGAGAATCTTAGCCTTCCTTGAGAACATTGCAATTTTCCATGTTGACAATTTCCTAGAGAGAAATATGAATGCCTTTTGAAGCATTCATTACTTATTGAGTGTCTGCTCTGCTCACCCCAGAATTATAACTATGTTGAAGACATAGTGAAGCTCTCAAGGCATGTACAACTTAGTAGGCATGATAGACATGTAAATACACAATTATCATGCAGGGTTGTAGGTGCTGTAATAAAAGTAAGTGAAGAGGAACCATGTAAGTGAAAGGAAACCATGAGGAGGAAGCACGTCATTCTACAACTGTAGGATAGGAAGGGGGAAAGGAGGAAGACACTTCTTCCCAGGGGAAGTGACCTGAACCATCTATGGTGATTGTACACCCCAATGGACAACCACATGTAAAATGGATTTTAACAATTTATGATCAGGAATATTTAGTTTATATCTACTTGTGCATCTCTTTGATAAAGTCTCTATAATGCAAAAACCTAGATATGTGAAACATAACTTTAATAAAATCGATATTTAAAACTGTTAGGTCAGGACAGAAGCATTTATCCATAATCTAGTTAAATAATAAAGGCGATTTCTTTTGCTATTGATTTTTAATAAGAAAAAAGAAATTGCCAAAGGGAATTAACATTACAGAACCTATATCATCAAACCAAATCTACGACAGAGTTTACTTCAATTCTTCTTTTGGTGAAAAGCTATTCTTACAACAATAAAAACATAGGAATTAACTTGAGTGTGAGTGGGCATCTTTTCTAGCTCTCCTCAAAACAGCACCAAGGGTTTAATGGGATGCACTGGCTGGCTAATTCTCTCTGTCTCTTAGCCCTTGCTCTTTGAGGTCACAACCCTGACATATCGATAAAGAACTGTGGGAAAGTCTGCAACACCCCTGCTTGCCTGCTACCTGTTTTTGTGGCAAGTAATGACATCAGTTTGCTCACACTGTTGTGGTTTGAGCATTAAAGTCACTCAAAAGACACTGAGTGATATTCTTACTCCTAAAATAGAGAGTTAATCCTGATCCGTCAATGGTGGGCTTTGTCCAACATCATTTTGCTGCTGACAAGTGGCACAGTTTGCTGGGTGTGATGTGTTATAAAAATGTGTTTGTTGAGAAGGGACCCAGTGACCACCTCTTTGTTGTTATGTCTCTGAAAACACAGAAGGCTTTCAGGAGAGCGGAATGCAATTCGTACCCATGGGGGTGTTTTATTTTGGATACACCTTACACAAATGAAGCTCTTTGGTTTAATTTCCTCAGTTGCTACAGTTTCAAATGGCTATATTTTAATCTTTTAAAAAATTATAATCAAGGTTGCCATCTGTCCTTTCTGGAAATTGGAATTTCAATCAAGATATTCAACAATGTTACAGTTGAGGGAATTCCATAGGGTCCATCTGAACAAAAAAGCAACGTATGTTGAAGACATCTTCCAATCCTCTTCTTACCACAAGAGATGAGGCTTTGACCTTAGTCTTTCTCATCAAGTGACCTAAACATATTTTAAACATC